ACTCACTCCCCATTCTCATCGGTAAGTTTGCGTATTTGTTTATAATCTTTATGCCTTTAATGTTCAACGTGCACTAAGATGTTTGATGAAATATCTAACAGAAAAACGCATCAAAATAAGTTTATGCAAACATAAATAATAGAATTTGATATCGTATTAAGATATACTTGACGTTACGTTTTGTAAAGCAATCAGGAACACTTGTTAACACGACGTAACGTGAAGCAATGTGTGTGTGCATGTGAGTGAGAGAGAGAGGATATATTCTAAAGTTCCTCATACGAACATCAACATTTTGCTCCTATTTGATTTAACTAAAAAATTTGATAAAAATCTAAATTAAAGTCAACAATTAATTTAAGTCACATATTTCATGCAATCTACAACTTTTAATTTATCAACTTTTCAACCATACGTTTAATCAAATCTGATTTTTAGTCAAACCAAGCATGGGCTTTAATTAGTATTTTTCTTGTAAATGAAATATGAAAAAATATATAAACATGTGAACTAACCCAACCTGAGAAAGTGGGTATTCAGTCTCTAGAGCAGGGTAGCTCTTCTAGCGTGCTTAAAACTTGATTTAGGGAGTGGCAGATTTTGGTAACAGTTTGATCTGGATAGATAGTGAAGCAACTTGAATCGAGTAGCCCTCCCTTAAACTGATTGTGCAATAAAAAAAAACCGGTACTGTATGCACGTATTGTGTCATTCTTTCCTACCATAGATGACTCCAATCACAAAGGCACCAAGGTCGGTCAGAAACTTCCACAATCCCCACAACAAAATGCCAATGCATATTATATGGCATAATTTTCAGATCAGAAATATACAAATGGATACAAACCATAGCATGTCTTTCGGTGTTTCTCTATTTCAATTTCCCACTGTTGCCAGTATATACGAAACATCACTTTACAACGATAACTTTGCTAAAAAGATCTACAATTTCAGGAAATAATAGAGAAAAAACAATTATGGCTTTACTTGTAAATCCATTCGTTTGCTCGGCCTCCAGACTCATCCATATCTATGAAAATGCTTATTGCCTGCAACAAAAATTAGAATCTGAAAGTATAAGCATTGACTTGAATCAGAACCTTGCTGACAAATCCTCGTTACATTAAAATATAACAAATAATGATAAATGAATTTTCATACTATTCTATATATGTTCTCTTATATCACGGGCATCATTTCATTTTTTGAAATACATAATGCATATAAAGATAGGGGAAAACAACTCAACTAAATTTAGCTCTTGCAAGAAAGAGAAGGCAAGGAACTTAGCTTAGAATCTAACATCTTATTGTAGAAACTATCAGTCATCTTTAAGGCGGAGGTACATGTCTTGTGTGTGCATACTTCTTTTCTAATGACTGAATCAAAACAATAAATTGCAAAACATATCAACGGAGTTTACTTTTCCTATCCGTGGTCGCTCTTTCTCTCTCAACTTTTCCAGACTGTTTCGGACATGTGAGACAGCTCCCCAACATTTTAATGTATTCGCCACATCATCAAGCCTCAAAATGTACTCTTCTTCAGTCAGTGGAAAGGATCTCTACCACAAGCATCCAAACATGGTTCAGATTAAGAAATGTAATAAAGCAAAAATTAATACGAAAAATGGTTATATGACCAAGCTATACTGTATAGTGCGGAGTGAATGTCCATTAAACAAATTTAGCAGAATGAATGAGATTGTCAAGATAGATGAGTGTACATACTAAATGAATAATATGAATAGGCAAAATACATCAACTGGAGGTGCGACCAACTGGGTCCTGCATGTATTGACCTGTGTACTGCCATAGCTAAACTTTGTTTAAAAGTCCACTTTGCTTATTGGGATTACTCCTATAGCACATCCTTGTACAGTGCTCATGGCAATGGCTTAAGTATCAGGAGCAACTTTTAATTTATTATAAGTCCAAACATTGGATTCAATAAGTTTTTGCCAATGACCACGTTTGCTGGATAGAAATATTAAACTAAGAGCTCATACAAAATGAGCACCAAGGAAAAAAGGGCCATAAGCCGATAATGAACTGTGAAGCTGGATAACCTGGGATGCCCATGCCCATGCGCATAAAAATCCCAGAGCATAATTAATGAAAATACGAGTTAATAGTTGGAGCATATCTTCCCTAAACCTAATTAAACTCTTCAGGATATAATGCGATAGAAGAGATAAAGCCAGACAAAAATTATTAGGACCTGCAGAAAATGTGATTTCATGAAATCTCTTTGTAGATATAGGCTATATTGAATCAAGACTTTAAAAAGGGATTTATATAACTGATTCAAAATTTGGAGATAAAAGAACTTAATTTGTTATCAACGGGACAACAAGCTGCTAGCCTAAAGTTTCTAACACAAATCCGTACCTGTTCGAACTAAACTGCATACAGAAACCAATGAGGTCAAGAATCACACGAAACAGACGCACTAAGAGCATGTTTCTTACTTTAGCTTTTATTATTATTATTAAATTTGCCTGAAAAATCAAACAGGTTGGGCAAAAATCCATAAATTATTTTATCTGCCCGCCATTACTGTAATTTCTGATAAAATACAGGTCCCAGTACTATGATTATTGTAGTAAACTAAGAAATGCTCGATCACGATCAAAAGAATAAACTCCCTAATCAGAGTTGTTTCTCTCTTTTTTACTTGTTTTGAGGGGTTTGAAAGGAGATAGGATTCACTACCATAAGGCAGAGTAGAAATGTGATTTTTATGGGCAAACTCGGAAGGCTTAAGCTTGATTTTATTGTTTAAATGTTTCAACGGGATGGTACTTCTGATACCTAAACACTTATCATTAGGGTTAATACCAACCTAAAAACTTATCTTTAGGGTTAGTACTTGTGATGCCTATCTTTCCAAAACCACACTAAATACGACACTTTGATAAAACATTTGAAAAGAATTTAAAGCAAATTACACAAAAAATTTAGGCTGAAATAACTGGAAATTTAGTATGTAGTATTTCCAACATTTTTAGAAACAAGGGTATTTTTGTCCTCTAAATGTTGGCCATTTGTAAATATCCAGAGTCTATATGTATCAAATTATTTATTTTAATATCATGGTACTTTTATGAGGAGCTCTTGGCAGGGTGGGCAAAAACATTTTCGAGGTGTTCAAATTCTTACTTGTGTAGTAGTCCTTATCAATTCTTCCAACTCTTGCTTTAATTAGAGTTCACAATTATGAGAATATGAGAGGTTACAATAATGAGAAGATAAGACAGAACAATGCCCTACATTTTAATTTTTTATCATCTTCTTCTAAAGGCATATTTCTCTTGTTTTTTCATTAATTCAACATGCAAGGAGTGGGAATTTATGGCTTCAAGAGACCATCCTAAGACCCAAAAGGTTCCAAGGATGACTTTGACTCAGCTTGGGTCAACCAAGTAGGATTTGGGTATAATAAGATTTTAATCAAATTTCTAAATCAAAAGTCAAACACAAAGCTTTTGTTCCAAATGGAAATTGGCTGAATCCATCATTAAGAAGGTAAAATGGGTAATTTTCTGCATTCTCAGGAACTATGCTTGTTTTGTTATTTTTCTTTAACTGTGGGATTATTGGCAATTTCATTGAACTTTTAAATTATGGATTTGATGTGTTAGTTTAAAAGACAATATGATGACAAGATCCTATGGTTGAACACATTTTGAAGTCTCTGACGATTCGGGGTGGAATGCCCTTCTCATTCCAGGCAATTCTGTCAGCCAAACAGGGTTTAAACCTCAGAATTCGGTTGAACACTACATCCAAAGGTCTCTAACTATTAGGCTAGGATAATCAGTCATTGTCCTTCCATCATGAGAAGCTGAAGTTTCAAGGCTTATGGCATGATACCAACAAGAAGAAGGTTCTAGGAAGCAGAGGGCATAATTTCTATTGCAAGATGACAAAATACATGATTCGCTTTATTACAGTAAGATATCCATAGTTTTTAAATCTTCCCAGCCCTTTTAAGCCTACTCAAATTTAATTGCAGATAATGCAATGCTGATAACCTAGCAGTGGTATAGCTAATGCGTTATGTGTCCTGCCTGGGGAGTATGTTAATTCTGAATCTACTTCTTGGAAGAAAATAAATTTCCTGAAAATCCAATATATAACTAATGCAAATTCAGCTCACCTGCTCCATGTACTTCCACATAACATTCAAAGCAAGAAGATTTCTACCCATGAACTCCTGCATTATGTATGAAAACTATCGTGTCAATTATTTGACTAAAGCATAAAATATGCTTCAACGAATTAGAACACGTAATACAATGTAAAAGAAGGTAAACTGAACGAGCTAAGATGATGTAAGATGCTGTGAATATGTTATTTTAGATGAAGCATAACATAAAAACAACTCTACGACACAACAAACATTTAAGTCAATTAATTGTAATGCACGAATGATAGTTATCAATCAATATAACAAGCATATACAGTTCAAATACATCCAGAACTGTATAGATAAAATATTATGAGGTCATAAAATATTCTGAATGCAAAACCATACTTCTGGCACCTACAAAGTCATGAAAACACCTTGCCTATTGCATATCATATATTAGGGATGAAGGGAGAAAAGAAACTGAATACCTTCTTAATCAACTGAACATCATATGATCTCCCAAATTTATTCCGTATAAGAGTTGCCAGGTCTATCCCACTGAAACTTGAGTCATCTGTTCCAACAATTCTTTCGAGCTTTTTCCTTAGAATTTCACTATTCACCTAAATAGATTTGAATTAAGATTCTTGCTCCCTTGTTGGACAAAAACACGCAATGGATACAATTGCATTGGCATAATAAAGGACAACATACAGATAAAATCTTAAAGTCACCATTGTCAAACATTATGTACACCGAGTGCGCTCTGTCACAATATAATCGCATATAGTACTTATCAGTGCACTAAACGTGCGAGTAGAGAGTTCCTATACCAGGGTAAAGCAAGAGAGGCTAAAGAAAAATGCTTATCACGGTATACAATGCAGAACTTCAGTATCTGTATTGTGGGATGCATGTATGAACAATTAACTTGTCACATGGATTAACAGAGGCAGATCAAGCACTCGGTAGAAAGCTTGGATTTACTAATAATGAAAACAAAACTCAAATAGGTTCCATTTACCTACACAGTCAAAAGGCATTATAGCCTTTTAACAGATAAACATAATGGTCAATTGAAATTTTGTAAAGCGGTTGTCAAAAACTTGACTAGCCACCAAATGGTAAAGCAGTTCATACCAATATGATAAGCAGACAATTAATAAAGACTTTTGGTTAGCACAAACATTGATGACATCTATCTCAGTCAATCCTATTGGCGTCTTTCTAGCTGCCTTTGGAGACATCCTGGAACTAAAATTCATGAAAACCAGATAGATAAATAATTTTCTTACTTCAATTCTATCCCAACAAAATAAAAATGCCATATAAAACAATTAACAGAAAAGCAAGCCTCAAGAAAAGAGGCAACACAGGTCAAATTCACTAATGGCACTGATCATACCAATTAACGTCACCCAGTGAACTTTACAAAATATTTCAGTCAAACCACCTATTCGAACAGTTAGTTCCCAAAGGGGTTTCTGTTAAAAATAGACCCCAAACTGAATCGATTGTCAGACCTGTAAAGTTCCCAGTCTAGAACAAATTACATTTCAGTGACCATTAGTGAAAATAA